TTCAGATCTGTTTTCTCTAAAATGAGCGGTGTGTTCATGTTTGAAATTAAATTCTCTTCATTTTGTCGTACTTGCATAAGAATAACTTGTTTCAATATTTGTCATTTCTAATATGTCAGCAAAATATTCCTTTTAGGGCTGCAAGTAACGATTATTGCAGATCGCCTAATCTGTCGATTGTTTTTTAAGTTTCCTTAAAGAAGATTATTATTATTTTATTTTTTTGTTGACTGTATGATCTGGTGAACTGTAAAGTGCCTTGAGATGACATGTGTAGTGAATTGGCGCTATAGAAATAAACTGAACTAATTAATAAATTAATTAGTTAATTAAAAACTAAAGAAAAAAGTGGCTCATTATTTCAAGAAATTATCTTTATTTAAATATTTCTTGTGTTGATTCTCTCTTTTTATTTTGTTTATTAGCAGTTAATTGGTCAATTTTTCTGTCATCAAGAATTTAGATCTTTGTTAGTATCTCTTATATATTTATATATACTCTTATATACACTGTCACTCCATCTGACAAAAGAATCTCTAAATGGTGGACACTCTTTTTATCGAAATTTAGTAAAATCAAAGATATTGGTTTACAAAAGTGACAGAAATTTCCCTAAGGGGACAGTCTCCCCAAAGGAAGACTTTTTTCTCCATTCAAAAGACTGCTTCATTTTAACCAAGGCCAAAGTTCAAAACTGGAAGGCTTAATTCTTTGTTTTTTGTTTTTTTTATTTATTTATATATATGAAAAAAAAAAAAAATATATATATATATATATATATATATATATATCAAATATTTATCAAATTAAATGAGCTGAAACGAAAACTTTTCCAATTGATTGAATAGAGTATATTGACATATTGAGAAACAAAAACATTTTTTTTTTTTATCTTAAATGCAAAATGTTTATATTGATTTTTTTACAGTGTTGGTATAATTACTGCTCTAAGTGAGTCGCTCTGTCAACTAAAGGCATGTTTTAGAGTCTCTACACTCCAGTTAACCATTAATCGACTAATAAATTAGTTGATTTTATTTCAATGATCAATTAATCACGATTAATCCGATTAATTGTTTTAGCCCTAATTCCTTTCTATTGTTCCCTTCAGCAATTCAAATGAAATGAGTAGAAATGTACACTCACTGAGAAGAAAACCAGCAGTTTCACAGTGAAATCAGAGCCTTTATAGTCAATTTATTTAATAAATTAACCTTTACTTGGAGTGTTGGTTAGGGTCAGATACGTCTAAAGTGGCCGTCAGCTCTATTTTTCACATTTACTGTTATTCCCTTACAGGAGGAACCTTCATCTGAAGTATTTTTCCTGTTTTCTTGTTCCTCTGACTGGAAAGCGACTGGATCCTCTGGTTTGCAGGCCTCCAACATCGGCTCCTTCTTGGTCCTCACAGCCCAATGCATTGACTGCAGACACAATCAGCCTGTGTCAGAAAACAGCAGCTGGAGAACGGCTGAAAAACTCCACAGAGTGAAGGCGATACGTACAGTTTTAACTGAATCATTCAGGGCCTGCCATTCCTGGAATGGGATAGAGACGCCGCTTCTTTTCCAGTGGTCGTAGTTCTTCCTTTTGGTTTCATCACATAAAACCTCTTTGGCTTCTTGCAGCTTTTGGAAATCAGTAACTGTCGAGATCAAAGGAAACAGAAGAGTCTTATTGTGAGTCACGTCGCTCACAGAATCAGGAGATAATAATTACCTCTTCCTCATTAAAAATGATTTGCTTTGAAGTCAAATCATCATAAAAAGGGGGGGTAGAAAGACAGATATAAAAACATGAAAATGGTGCCAAATATTCAGTGATTTGCAAAAATATTCACATCACATGAACTTTTTTCCCTTTTTGTTGTTACCGCCATATTTTATGCTTGTATTTTAATTTGATGAGATAAACCATCAAATTGTTCCACCTGGGGAAACAGATTTTTGGGGTTCAGGGAGCTGAAAATATGGTTTCCCTCAATCTGATTTCCACATCTAGAGACTGAATTGTTTTGCTTAATATTCTAAAGCTCTGTTGGATTGGACAGAAGCCATTAGTAAAACTTAATCTCCCTGGTCCAACACACCTAAATCAAACGGCCACCTCAGTCGAAGTCAAGTTCTCCAGAGTCTGCAAATGACCTAAATATTTGATTCAGGTCAGTAAAAGTAGACATTCCTGATCTTAACCATCAAACTGTATCTCCGGTTGTGCATTTAAGATCCTTGTCCAGATGGAAAATTAACCTCCAACAGGTTTTCTGACATGATTGCTTTCCTTTCAACCTTTATCCATCTTCTTATCACCAGCTAATCCTTCGCTGTTTAGGAAATCGATCCCACGGCATGATGCTGCCATCACTGTGTTTCACACAGTGCTTATCGCAGGTATGACGCAGATATTATGGATTTATGCCCAATTTTGAAGCTTGGTCTGCGCAATGTTATTCCATGCAACAACTAGCTAGGATTGTGGTTGTTTGTGTGTCTGTTGATGAGCTTGTTTGCCGTCTATAACCCCTCATTCAATGCCAGACAACACACAGTTCACCTGTGAGTATTCCAGAAAGACAGGCCGTGGCGCTGCATGTTTTGGCTTCAGGTGCAAACCAACAGACAGAGCTACAAACTAGCGCCCTGCATGGTGTCTAGGATAGTGTCTGATGTGTGCCAGGCGTTGTGGACGGCACTACAGCCAGAGTGTCTGCCATTAGGTACCAAACAGGTTAACTGCGACACGCACGCAGGCGACCTGTTCACCTTCTTCCAGTTATTATCCTTGATGGCTTTTTACAAACTGTCAACAGAACCCTTCATCCTCTTCCAATTACTTTTTTCCCTACCACTCCGCTATAAAAGCCAGATTTGAGGAAAAGCAACTAATATTTGTCCTCTCAACAGATTATCACCTGAGCTGTGGAGGATTGCAGCTCCTCCAAAGCTACCATGAGCCTCTTTTCTGACCTTCTGAGGTGGTTAATTTGTTTATGTGGATGTTGGATTGGTATTTCTGCAGTTGATACATTGATCTCTATAAAAAATGTACAGCTCAGGATGCTGTCTTATTACTTAAACCTGCTTAGCTCAGTTCCTTTATCTTTATTATGATGTCTTCTTAATAAATGCTAAGAGAATATTTAATCATGCATAGTTGAACTATTAAATAACAATATGTTAAAGCAACTTGCTGAATTTCCCAGGTAATGATTGTGAAGTTTGATGTTGTCACCTCACAGAAAATGGATTTTATATTTACCTGCTGTAGGGTTGTCAGGGTGTTTATCCGGGTGACACGATAAGGCTCTAATCTTGTATTCATTGAGGATCTGCTCAGTCTTTAAGAGAACATATAGAGACATAAAAATTATTCAGATAATTAAAAAAAAAAACAGATTTCCTAAGATTCTTGTTTTAGTGAACCTTGTGAGATGTTTTCATTTGGCTGACTTTGTGACAAACTGAGTATTCTTTGTTAAAACACTAGAAATCCTCATGTGATCCCTTCTAGGTCCAGGGAAGTCTGCTGCTTTCAGGTTATGCTTCTGCATTACTCCCTATATTTACTCTCCATATGTTTTCCTATCATGAATGCAGCTCTGGAACAAACTTCCAGAAAACTGTAAAAGTGCAGAAAGCCTGAGTTCCTTTAAATCAAGACTAAAAACACATTTGTTTTAGATTGCCTTTGACTGTTCTAGTTAAACAGTTCAACTGAAACATCATTAGATCAACTACTTTATTTTCTTTAGTCCAACTGTTTTCAATGTTCCTTTTTGTTTCTGCATTTTTAATTTTATTTAATTTTTATTTCCTATTTGCTTTGATTCTGTTTTATTTTCCTATATTTTAATCATGTAAAGCACTTTGCATTGTCTTTGTACTGAATTGTGCTATACAAATAAATTTGCCTTGCCTTGCCTCTTGTCAGCCCATTAATTATCACTTTACACAAAAACAGCTGCAATACAATAGGGTTTTCTAGATGCAAAGCAACAGGTTTCACAAAAAGTCACTATTAACCGCAAACATGCATTACATAGTTTATCAACAACCATTTAGTTACTTAATAATTAATGATTATTCAATATTTTACATCTTTACATTGTTTTTCATCCTTAAAATAGGTTCTGAATGTGTAATATGTCAGTCACTGACAGCTTACCGATGACAGTTCATCACATCCTAACAATCCATAGTAATCTTCCAAGTCCTCCTGTTTACGACCAAAAATAGCCTCCATATCCGAGCTGTCAGGGAAAGAAAAAACACCTTTTAAGTCCCTTTTTATCGCAACCTGGTGCAGCTGCGCCACGCTGCAGCTGATTAGTTCAGGGACTGCTGTATCTCGGCTTTCCCTCAAACTGGTACAGTAATTAGATATTTATGCTCTAACTACAAATATACTCAAACAGCTATAAAAGCCAATCTAGAGCTCTTCTGTGGGATAAACGTGTATGTCCCCTTTTCTTTCATGTGACGCATGTTACATTCAAGTTTTTACGTAAAACCTCCCCCCTGACATCAAAACGATGCGCTGGTGAAGTTTCTCAGTCATCCAGGTCATAGTCATTAAAAAAAAGTAAAAAAAAAACAAAACAAAAAAAAACAATCTACTGGACTTTGTTTCCAAATAAAGGAGACAAAGTCCAGTGGATTATTATTATTATTATTTTTTTACTTTTCTGTAACCAAAACGATCCATTTACGTGTGAACCTTCTTGTAATTAATCAAAACTCATGAGGGGAAAAATGCATGATCGTTAGGTTAATTAAAATATATCAATGTAACCCATATTAAATAATCACAAATGTAAACCCTTTTGTTTCTATCCGCTATTTCTATAGTTTCTGTGAATTTTTTTTCACCAAGTTTAAATATATTCTACTTGTAGCACTTGAACGCAGCACCAATTTGTTGTGGTATCATGTTACGGACGCACAATAGGGACGCTCGGCTTGTTCCTATTGGCTGACAGCGACTCACGTGACACCAGCTGTTCAAGAGGAAGGAGCTGCGCAGCGGGTCTGTGGGCTGAAGATGGCGGACAGAGAGAACGCTCTCGGAACGGCCTGTTCTGGCGCCTCTGAAATGGAGGAACCTGTCGCGAAAAGGTCCAAATTAACCCCGGTGACTATTCACGGACCCAAATCTACCGAAACGGACAAGCACGCGTGCGTTTCCGCAGCCATTGGGAGCCGGGAGGCGGCGGAGCATTGTGCGCCGCCAACGGAGAAGAAGGAAGCGAAGCCGGTGGTGATGGCGGTGGAGCAGGCCCCGGCACCGCAAGGCGAGGACAACAATGGACTTGGCCTGCCGGTCCCCGAGCCGCTCAAACAAACTGGGAAGTTAAGCGACAGCACCGCCTTTGGTGCGACTGGGGAATGTGTCGGTATGTAGCGCGAAAGACACCAAGTACACACTGATCAATCACCGGCTAGCTAGTTTTTTTGTTTTTTTTTTTACTTTCTTTCAACATTTAAATGATATACATTTTATTTTTCTCACCAACTTGTCTTTTGTTTATCAAAGAAGAGCAGAAAAAAACACAACATCCCTTGAAACTTTTTCAATGGCACTTAACTTTGGAACAAGTTTGTGTCAGTTGCCGGTGTAACGCTGAATTCGGCAACACCTTAGTTTGAGTTTCTACTTCCTTGGGGCCTAGCGCTGCATTGCCTTTGTATAAATGTTTTTAAATACATGCATATTAATTGGACATAAGTTTTTTCTAACATATTAATTATAAAATAATTAATAGAAATATATTTTAGACTCTGCTGTATACTCTTTACATGCTTATTATTTAAAGAAATGCAGTATTTTCCAGCTGTTTATAACGCATTTTATTTATTTTTTTCCCAGGTTTTCTTGGGCATGACGATCTGCTTCCCAATGGCCTTGCTGTCACACCAGAACACATTGATGAGGAAGATGACAGATCTTCACATGCAAGCTCCAGTGACTGGACTCCTCAACCGCAAATAAGTAATTGGGAGATTTTTCTATTCCTCAGTACAACAAAGTTCTGGTTTTAAATATATTTTAATGAGCTGCCATTCATAATTGAAATTAACCAATGTTTTGGTTCTGTGTCTTGTTTCTTTTTCCCACCTGTTCACAGGTTCCTACAGTTACATCCAGCAACACATCAGAGAGACGGACCCGAGGGCTATATTGAGGGATTTGCTTCCTGAGACCATACTTCCTCCAGATTTAGATGACATGACATTATGGCAGATAATCATCAACATCTCAGAACCTCCAAAAAGAAGAAAACGAAAGGATATCAACAGCTTTGAAGATGTGGTCAAGCTGCTTCATGAAAGCAAAAGGATTCTTGTGCTGACTGGAGCTGGTGTAAGCATCTGCAGTTGTAATACTCATAGGGTCTTATTTAAAAAGGTAGATGTAAAAAAAATTAACTTTATCTGTTTTTAGGTTTCAGTTTCATGTGGGATACCAGACTTTCGCTCCAGAGATGGAATTTATGCGCGACTCGCTGTGGATTTTCCTGACCTTCCAGATCCTCAGTCCATGTTTGACATTGAATACTTCAGGAGAGACCCCAGACCCTTTTTCAAGTTTGCAAAGGTTTGTCTATAACTTCAATCTGTTTAATATATTCCTTTAAAAAAAAATTAATAGATTCTGTTTGGGGACCTACCTGAAAATGAATCATAGATTATTTAATGGCCCATGGCAGAAATCCATTTATATACATTTAAAACAAGAAAATAATTATTAAAATGTGTTAGTAATCAGATTTTCTTTTTTATTACTCTTATTTCCTGAGGGGAAAAAAACATGAAAATTTGAAAACTGAATTTTAAAACCCCAGTTCTTAGGTATTTTTTAGTACTGGTTTAAATAAAAAATGCTGATAGTTTGAAAGGCCTCAACAAATATAGTCAGTTTTCTCAAGTTATGAAGTTAAGCTGATTCAGAAACTTCAACATTTTAAGAGGCTTGTTTATTCTAATATACGCAACTATGGCCTTTTTGATTTCTGTTAATGCTGAATATATTGTTTCTCTTGCAGGAGATCTTCCCCGGTCAGTTTCAGCCTTCACCATGTCACAGATTTATATCTATGCTGGATAAACAAGGGAAGCTGCTGCGCAATTACACACAAAACATTGACACATTGGAGCAAGTGGCTGGAGTTCAACGGATCATCCAATGCCATGGTGAGTTGTTCCCACTGTCTAACTTGTAGCTAAATGAAGTTAAACTGAAAACGTTTCCAGAAAACTGTACTTTTCAAGCTTGACCATGGCCTGGATGACTGAGAATCTTCACAGAGATGTACTCCTTTTGTCATTTCAGGGTCATTTGCAACTGCATCCTGTCTTGTCTGTAAACACAAAGTGGATTGTGAGGCAATAAGGGCTGACATCCTAAATCAGGTATTTATCAACAACACACTGCTGCAGGTACCTTGTTCACTAGCAGTTTTGTCAGATTTTTTTAAGACTAAAAAATATTGATGTCAGCTTTTATAGATGTTTTAAATTAGGCCTAATTTATATTTTGGATATGTTTTGTGTGGCTCGTCAAGAGTTCAATGGTCAAAATTTGGCCCTCTTGGAAAGGGAGCCTTTTTAGGATGAGATTTTCAAATACGAGTTGATGGCATGTCTTTTCTTGACAACAACAATCTTAATTTCTTAAATGCAACTTTTTTTGTTAAATGAAAACAAGACCTTGGTGTGTTAATCCATTGATTAGATCTGGCTTTATGTCATTTCTAATGTTTGCAGCATGAAATTAACTAAGACAACTTCTAGACAAGTGCTTTCAATGATTTCAGTCGCATTGGTCACTAGCCGATATTGACAAATCACAACTATTGAAATTCCTTAATATCCAAAGAACATAATCTAAAATGTATATCTAAAGATCTTGGCATATAGTTTTAGAACTGGGTAAGGAAAAACAGAAGACTCTTGACCTTTGGGTCTGGTTTGGTGCAGGATTTTGACCGCACACGAGAAGGGTTTTGGGCGATTGACGTTCTTCCTTTAGATTAGCCTTTCACTGAAAAGTAACCCACTGTAAATACTTGGACCACATAGCTTTCAAATAAACAGTTTTGTTTCACTTTAACAATTTTATTTTTGATGGTAGTTGGAGAGTTGGTTCTCATGTTTTAATGTTGTGTTGCTTAGAAACCAGTTAAAAAGAAAAACAGACATCATGTCACTTCGACCCTTTCCGGGATATTTAACCTTTTCTGGTTCTATACAGATTTCGTTCATATTCATGTACAACATTCTTTGGTTGTAAGCTAACAGATGAAGTCCTTTCGCAGGTTGTCCCTCGTTGTCCACGGTGTCCGGATATTCCTCTGGCCATCATGAAACCTGACATCGTCTTTTTTGGAGAAAATCTGCCAGAATTGTTCCACAGAGCCATGAAACAGGACAAAGATGAGGTGGACCTTCTGATTGTCATCGGCTCGTCTCTGAAAGTCCGACCAGTTGCTCTCATCCCAAGTATGAACTTTTTTCTGTCTATAAGTGTTTCTTTTTAAACCAACAAACTATAAACCTTTTTTTTTTCCTCTTGTCTTGAACCAGACTCCATTCCTCATGAAGTGCCTCAGGTTCTGATCAACAGGGAGCCGCTGCCTCATCTAAACTTTGACGTGGAGCTGCTGGGGGACTGCGATGGCATTATCAACGAGCTCTGTCATCGCTTGGGAGGAGACTTTGAACAGCTCTGCTACAACACTCTAAGACTCACTGAAATCACAGAGAAACCTCCACGGCTACCGGAACAGCCAACAACTGACGGCGTGTCCGCGTCCAGTGATGCCCATCAGCAGGAGCTCGGGGTGCCCCAAACGGATCCACTGAGCAAGCCTTCAGAGGAGCCTGGGAGTGTGAATGTCACAGAAATGGCCAATAGCGACTTAACACCTGCAGAGCCTTGTTCAAATGCTCAGAGTCAAAGCGCTGATGCTGCAGAGTCTCCAGAGCTGCCGAAAGAGGACTTGGCCGACGTGAAGAGCCAAACATCCAAGCTGGAAAATCAAAAGCGATACTGGATGAGTCGAGTCAGCAGGAGTCCAATAAGCAAACGGCTGGACGGTGAGTTTGAGATGCTGTAAAGATGCTCGTCTTCATAAGCCTTCCTCTGTTTTTACACCTTAAGGAGTGGTTTTTATTTAATTTGCTAACATTGGGAATATTTCTGTCAGCTGTTGTAGAAAGATGCCAGATAGTGGTGAGTAAATCTAAAGGTTTACTCCACTCTTGGCAGATTCATGCTTATGCCATTAGCACTGTAAATGAATACATATATATCGAACTGCTGATAAACTGCGACCAATTTAACATATGAAAATCTGGAGGGTTAATATATAGTCTGCTCTCACTGGCGATTTTATAGGATGCTTGTTTTTAGTGCTGAATTTGACCCCGTTTTTACCTCCATTCATCCTGGATTCAACATGATCTCACTAACGTTGCTCAGATTTTGGTCATATTGACATGATTCCATAACATGCTTTGTCTGCTGCACATCCAGGGTTCATGGTTTCAGCTCGGCAGCATGTTGCATTATCCTGCTGACAGTAGACGTCAGAAGATGGGTACAAAACGCAAATGGAAATCTTTGCTGCAAGCTCAGTCAGTCGTTGCAAGTCAATGACTGAATGCAGTCAACTGGTTTTACTAACCAATCCTGACAGCGTTGTGTTATGTTGTGAATTGGCGCTATTAAAGTGAAATACCCGGGTAGGCAGCAGTGTTTTAAATTATATTTTTGTTGTTTCAAATTTTGGGGCACAAAAAATATCCCGTACACATCTAGAATTCCTGGTCCATGCAGACTCATTGTGCGGAGGGGTGTTTCCCATCTCCAGCAGTCATTGGTTAAGCTTGGCAGACACAAAAGAAGCAACCATCCAGAACTCCTGTCTATAGACAATTTAGAGAGGCCATCAAATGTCTTTAACCTTGGCTAGCTAAAGGAGTACCCAGAGATTACCTCTGCATACACGGATAAAACCCAGGGCGTTCTAGCCCGGCCAGCCGGACTGATTTGCGTCCCGTGAGGCTCAGTGCTCTTCAGTGTAAAACAGACCGGACTGATCACAGCGTGAGGGACAGGCCCACAATGCAGCAGTGCCGTTCTGTAACCATAACAGTCAACAGATTGAAAAAGTCTTTGTGATTTCTGTTTGTTTGCAATACAGCAACCTGTAGTTAAACTAAAGCAGAGAGGCAAAGTGAGCTGGGTGTTGTCTTCTGCCTGCGGGACGGTGAATACTGCTATCTCAGATTGTTGCATCATCTCTGCAGCGAGGTTTTTGTCTACTTAGGATGTGCATACCCATGTGATTCAGCATGTATGTGATGCAGAGAACACAAAACTAGAAGCTTAATGACGTGAAAATAATTTTCATTATAAATATATAATACATAGTGTCAATTGTATATAGGAAAGATCACTTTAAATAGCTTCTGATAAAATGTTTTTGATCTTTTTTCATTTTTTGGGGTTTTTCTTTTTTTTTCCCCTCTTTGCTTACGTCTAAAGTTACTAAAAAGTCTTCTGCCACAGTTCTGATGCTCCGTTTGAAGCGTTGAAAGCATCAAGTAGCTGCCATGTCAGCAACTGAAGAAGTGTTCACAGAGAGTACAGTTTTACCAAATGGTTCTGAACTCTTTTGGTTGAAATTTTTTTTAAAATAAACTGAGGGAATTCAGCTTTCTGCAAACTATTGCTGAGGTTTTCCACAGCTGCACAGATAAAGGCCGTTTCTCAATATGTGTACTCGTGCGTTCTCGTGTACTCGTGAAACGTCGTCACCCTCAGCCCTAGTACTGTTCCAATTCACAAGAACAGACAAAGTACCCGGATGTTGTTCTCGACCCTCCCTATTTACCCAGCATGCATCAGAGCAGACTTGTCCCTTCTTGAGATTGACCGCTGTCCCATCATGCACTGCGGCAGCAGCAGCTTTCAATGGAGGGCTCACAGATCTCTAAGTATTAAGTTAAAAGTTCTCTTTTCTGCTGCCGTTGTTCAATAAAAGTACGTTTTAAGATCATTTGAGGCGAGAACATTAAACTTTTAAGCGTCACTGTAAGGCCCACTTACCGATTAAATGCGTAATTTAAAAAAAATTTCCAAAGTTGAGAGGACCTTGGCAACCAGCGGGCCTCCGAGGGTAACGGCAGTCAGGTGTAATGTTAGCACTTCTGCAGCAGCCCTCTCCTGGCATACCTGTGTGTGAAGGACAGCTGGCTCTGATGGAGAGTTTTTTGTTTTATTTGGCAGTGTTCGTTTGATTTGTATTTATCTGTGTTCATTATTATTCCCCCACTAAATGAAAAACGCATACTTTATTATTATCTAAGGACTATTAATAACAGGAGGTGATATGCAGCCCTAGCTGAGCCGTTTGGTGACGTCACGAGTTCGCTTATGTTCCAATTGCCCCATATTAAAGGAATAGTACACCCAAAACATGATTAGCCTTCATTTTCTACTCACCCCCATGCTGAACAACACTCTGGAGTACTTTTTTGATATCTCAAATGCATCTGGAGATCTGGGAGGCTTCTTGCTGTCTGCTGACATTCAAATAATGGAGGTCTATGGCGCCCGAGACAGAAAGGTCCATAAAAGTCCACAAAAAACGTGTCAATATTCCTCCATACTGCTCGTCCAATGTATTCCAAGTGTCCTGAGTGGGTAGCGTCCATAATTTACTCGAAACGAAGTCATTTAGAATGTTTTTAGAGCATAAACAGTAGTGTATAGGATTTCCTAAAAGCGCGTTCACGAGCCTACAGAAACCGCGGCAGACCAAACCAGATGAAAGTGCGCATTCAGTTCGGCAAAGAACTCATGCTCTTCCTCAACACTGAAGTCCTCAGACATTTTTCTTTCGTTGTTTCTTTCTTTGCACAGGTAAACAGCACATTTCTTCTTCTACGCTTGCATTATCGGCAGAGCAGACGCTGAATGCGCACTTTCATCTGGTTTGGTCTGCCGGCTTCCGTAGCGTCGTGAACGCGCTTTCAGGAAATCCTATACACTACTGTTTATGCTCTAAAAACATTCTAAATGACTTCGTTTCGAGTAAATTATGGACGCTACCCACTCAGGACACTTGGAATACATTGGACGAGCAGTATGGAGGAATATTGACACGTTTTTTGTGGACTTTTATGGACCTTTCTGCCTCGGGCGCCATAGACCTCCATTATTTGAATGTCAGCAGACAGCAAGAAGCCTCCCAGATCTCCAGATGCATTTGAGATATCAAAAAAGTACTCCAGAGTGTTGTTCAGCATGGGGGTGAGTAGAAAATTAAGGCTAATCATGTTTTGGGTGTACTATTCCTTTAATGCAGCCTGCTCCCGTTCTCCTCAAGTCCAGGCTTTTCTGTGTTCTTAAGAACATACTTGACGAGGACACGAGTCTGTACTCGCGTTCTAGTGAATTGAGAAACAGCCAAAATCATGATCAGCATCCAGATATGGGTGACCAGCTTTAATTCATCCATCTTCTGAGTTTTAGCAAACTAAAAGCTAAAGTTCAAGTAGCTTTTGTCGTTTTAAACCTGTATTCAGCATTAGTAAGGTATGTTTATTATTTTACACCACCTTAATTACTTAGAAATAAAAATAAACATGACTGTTTCACATCCATGAGCAATGAGTAGACTGCACAGTCTGATGGGTCCTCTGTTTTTTTTTTTTTTTTTTTTCCCCACAGGGGGTCAGTTCCTGTTCCAAGCACCGAATCGATACATCTTCCACGGGGCCGAGGTGTACTCCGACTCCGACGACGAGACGTCAAGCTCCTGCGGGAGTGACAGCGATGGGTCTGAGTGCAGTCACGAAGGCGTGGAAGAGTGCAGCGACCCGGAGGAGGCCGCCAGGCTGCCGAGTGAAGAGACATGCCACAGAGACGCGTTGGTGCTAAATTCAGCCGACCAGGCCGCGTCGAGCGCTCAGACAGACAGTACTTTGGAGAAGACTGACAGGACCGCACCTCTTTAGGTGTACAACATCTCCATTTCACAAAGCACTAACTGTCTTTTTTTATATATATATATTAAGACGTATAAATATGTTCCTATATTTTTGGCTTGTCATACTGTAATTTTTCATAAAGCTGAAATGACATCACACACTTGTGCGTAAACATAGCAGGTCTTCTTGTTTGTTTGACCACGTTGGTCTGGATTACCTACTGCAGTACAGAAATGTTTAGAAACTCTCCATGTTCCTTTTTTTTTGTTGGTTTTTTTCATCCATTGTTAACTTTTTGTTTTCTAAGTCGACCCATTGTCCTTGGCACTGTGTTAAACTTTAGATCCTGATTATGGCATCAGAGCCTGATGTCATCTGCGGTCTAGCGTGTTTCTGTTTAGGAATGGTGTACATAGTTAGAAGCCTGCTGCCTGTGTTTCTTAGAGGCTTCTGACCAGTTTGGGCACATTTGTTTTTCATTGCTTTCTTTGTTAACCAGCATGCAATATAAAGTTCAGTTCTCCGCTTTCCTGGAGTAAATACATAAAAGGAACGTCTCTATTTGATTTTTAGACCAAAGAAGAAATTACCAGCACACTCATCTGTGTTTTTGTACGTCTGATCTGTCCTTTAAATCTTCGAGGGGGTAACGTAACTTTAACGAGGTGTTCCTCATGACATCTGGCAGCTACTTTTATGGTCAAGCCTCTTATTTTTGTATTTGGGTGTGAGACATACTCATTAAAGGGTAAACGGTAGTTTTTCCATTTGTATAAAGTTATACTATAGACTTTATATGGAAGCGAGGTTTGGCTATATTGAGCTGTAACCTGTAGAAATGTACTCTAATTGGGAAAAAAACAGGACTTTTTTTTTTTTTTTTCCTTTCTTGTACGACAGATTTTTGTCGCCTCTTTTCTTAGAAGTTAAAAGAGCTAAATGCCTTTTTGAATCTTGGCTAAGTGACATGAACACAGAAAACCCTGTGATTTTTGGAAGGTAATGTTTTGGTAACCAGATATGAGCAAAGGTTTTAATATAACGGTTTTCCTGCTGGGGTTTTAGGTAAAACAAAGCAAGATTTGTTTTGTTTTCCATCTTGAACGTACCTTATTTACATGCAGTTTTAATTAAATTCAAGGCTGGTTTTTCTCTGAAGGCCTTTCGTTTTCCTCTGCATGAAAAATAAAAACTTTTAGAAGGATGTGATTATGTTGGGTTGTTTCTTCCAGCAAATAAAACAGCTACTGGAGATTAAATGTAATTTTTAGGTTTGTTTCTGAGCGCTAGAGGCGACTAAGGTGAAGGTCTCAGGTTTTTCTGTTATAAGCTCTGCAGTTAGATGACGTTAGGCTGAGATGAGAAACTAATTGGCAGTAAAGGAAAAGGGTAATTTATAGTGCACCTCTTCTGAATTTCATGTTAATTAAATAAATCCTAATATCAGTCCAAGATAATATCAGATCTGATGTAGCTTTTATCAAGAAGGAAAACATAAAAACCAACTTGGCATTAAAGAGAACCAAGTCATAGCTGTCAGGTTTTCATCTTTCACATCAAGCACTCTTGTATCGGGGAGTGAAACTAATTCAAATCACACCAGCAGGTCCATCTCTAAATGGCCTAAAGCAGAATTAAAATGTTGGAGTGGCCCCGAACTTGCTGTTTGAGCATAAGAGCCTTCACATATGGCCGAATAATAAAAAAAAAAGGTCTAGAAGAATATAAGATGTTAAAATCGCATAAACTCACATCCAAAGTGTAATTATTTTGAATCTCACTTATTATTTTACATTTTAACATAATTAAACTTCAGTGAAAAACCCAGAAAGGGGTAAATAATTAATTTCTGCAAACTCCCCCTTTGCCAGTTATTGCAAAATGCTCGCTTGCATTTTTGGTTGCACGGCTTCAAAATGTGAAACCAAAAGGAAACAGAGGAACACCAGATAAAATGTTGGGTTTTTAATAGGATACAAGCAAAAAGAAAGGTCGACTGAACCAGAATTTAATGCATCTTTCTATTGCAATGTAGTGAGATTCTTTATATTCTTTTTTTTTTTTTTAACATTCTTTATTTAAGAATATAATAAATCCAACATATATACAAATGTATCTTCATATATGCAACTACAAAGAACATCAAACCCCAAAAAAATGGAAAAAAATAAAATACAATAAAATAAAGTAAAAAAGGGATGGGGCTCAGCAAACATTCGAATCTGTTTCAGCAACTGACAGTTCTTATAGGGGTCTTCATTAGCTCCCACAAACGGGAGGTGTCTATGTCTAGTGTACCATAAAAGAGGGGAAATATAAACAAAGGGCGCTGATATAATTTTTTTAGCATATGAGGCTCTTTATCTGTGTGGCCATTCGAAGTAGTCAATAGCTGGGGCCCACACTTTCAAGAATATGTCCATTTTCACATGAGGTTTTGCTGTTATCTTCTCCATTTTATACACATTCTTCAACCTTTCTTGCCGTTGTTGAAGGGTTTGGGGGCAGAGGTTTAAGCCAAGACAGAGTTATCATTTTCCTTGCCACTAATAGCAGAATCTGTAGTAATTGATCTTCCCTTTTCCCAATATTTTCTTACAGTGGGTTCAGTGGTAAAGCAAACTTAAGTATTCTTTTAATTTCTGTCTGGATCCCTTGCCAAAATGGAATCAGTACTGGACAGTCCCAAAAAATGTGAGTGTGGTCCCCAATCTGATTACAGTTCCTCCAGCATAAATTTCACACATTTCTGTCATATTTTGAGATACAAAAAGGAGTTTTAAAACATCTCGTTCTTAATTTCCAGTTGAATTCTTTCCATCCTGGGCTGTGGGTAATCGCAAAACGATTCTTTATATTCTTTACTGAATTATTAATCAGTAACTGTATGTAAATGTTAAAAACATGGGCACTAAAAAAAAAAGAAGAAGGAAATAAAAGTTGGAGGAATCTGAGTTTATCAGAGGTGTGCTGCATCCATGATCAGCTGGGACACTAAAGCTGAAATATTAAAACAGCATTGTTTAAAATTTATTTTATTTGTATGAATAGCCTTCTCACAGGAAAAAAAATCTATATTTACATCAGCAGTTTTCATTGTTATATTATTGTATAATCTATCTTTTCTAACAGTGGCCATGCCTGCTTCAACTACACTCAATACAAATAAATACAAAACCACCAGTTAGTTCTGTACTTTACATTTGTTTAAGTTTATCTATGAAAATAAAAGTAAATTCATGTCAGGAATTAAAATACATTCTTTGATCACTGCTGACCAAAGTAATAAGAAAGTTCTACCAACTCACTTTATTTAAGTGCCAAATCGAGTTTTTTGTGCATTATTACTCCTCAAATATACATATGACTCGTTTTTGTCATATGTAATTTTTATTTAATTTTATTTCATAAAAAAAAAAATTATATTCAGATACACACACTACTTAATCAATGCATTTTATATTAAAAGAGGCAGAATAAAAAGTAAAACTACATCTGCTCTTTAATTCTGCAACAATTCTGTTATACTGCATTAGTTTT